GCGCGTCCCCTCAGCCTCCTGCCGGCCGCGGCCTCGCCGCTCTCACTGGAAATGCCTGTCCAGTCACCGGCCCTCAGAACCCGGAATCTGACCTGGACACAGAGGGGAGGCCCCCGCTGGGCGATTAACTCACTGTCCGAGCCCTGTCCTTCCCCCACTTTTACAATGAGGCCCCCGCCAGGCCCACCAACATGGGGCGTCTCCTGGCCCCCCGCCCCGTCCTCCTGCCACCGCAGCCCGCGTGCCCTCCTTGCCTTTTCCGCACGCACAGTCCCCTCTGGGCACCGACCCCTGGACTGTCCGCGCTGGTCACCGGCCTCTCAGACAGCCTGGTGTCCGGGGCTGCCCCCGCCGGGCCCGCCTGGGCTCTGGTCCCAGCGTTGTCCCCGACTCTCCTTCCTTCCTGGATCCTGTGTCCTCATCGGGAAAGAGGATGTTACCGTGGTAACCGGGCGTCCCGGGACTCTGAAACCCGGTGCAGGAGGTGGCAGGGCCGAGGCGGGAGGGGTTGTGGACCTTCTCAAGTTCACACAACTTCCTCACAGCAGGGCTCGGCCTGGGTTCTCCACCTGGAGTGTTTATATTTTAAAATATAACATATTCAAGTGTGCAGACATTAGCGGTCACCTGGCTCAGAGCCCTTATTGAAAACAGGAAAACAGCAGCTCCGAGAGGTGAAGAGACTTGCCCAAGGCCACAGGCAAGGGGCGGCCAGACAGGAGCCAGCTCTGGAGCCAGGCGGGCGGACTCCCTGTCCAGTGCTCGCTCTCCCGCCCCCTTGGGACTGAGGTGAAGAGTCAACACCCAGCTTCGGGGCCCCGGGGCTCCGCTTTCCTACGTGCCACGGCAGAGCTTACGGTTTCTGGGCTCAGAAAGGACATCCATTACCGTCCGCTCTCAACATAAAAGCCTTAAATCGCGGCAAACCCCAGCGGCCACAATCCCAGCGAAGGACGTGATGGAGTGCCGGCCAGATCTCCCGCGATGGTAAATGGGCTTTGCATATGCAAATTGAATGGATTTTAAAATGGTATTTAATGACAATTTTCGTAGCAGACGTTAACATTAATTGCACAAAAATGAAAATGCTGCATTAGGTTGCTGTTAGCAGCAAATATCGCGGCCATAAAGCTTTATCTTTATCAACGGCGGCCCTTTCGGAAGTGACAGGGCCGCTCAGCAAATTGCAAGCAAAAGGGCTTTTATGGAACAAAAATAGCCCCCAAAGCAGGCCCGAATCAGCATCAATTTCACTTTATTTCTCCGTAAATGGAGGTTAAATGGCTGTCGGGAAAGCTTTTACTGAGATGCCCAACCTGCCCGCACGCCCCTCAGCCGTACAGCAGACGCAGGGCGCAGTTAAAAAAACCCATCCACCCCCACCCCCACCCCCACCCCGTAACGGGGCTATTACTTTAAAGTTATGGGGCCGAGGCCCGTTCTCCAATGATCACCTTTTATAGGCCGCGATTGTGTTTCTTTCTTTACTTTAGAAGCGTGTGTAAAACCAAACCCCATCACACTCGCCTACCCGAGGAGTTGTTGGGGAGACTTGCTCCAATAAATACGTAAAGAAACAAATGAGCACCGTCCACTCACAACTACAGAGATGTGAAAAAATAAAAGTAAGTCCCACCTTAGACTCCACACAGGCCCAGCTCGCCGGAAGCCAGGGATGCCGGGAGCAGGGGGCGGGGCGTGCAGGGTCAGATGCTGACCAGGCTTCTTCCCCCGCCCCCGATGTCCAATCCTCCTGCCCTTTATATCGCCTACGATGGACAACATACACGGATGGGAGGGGCCCCACACGCCTCCGCCTGCCCCTCCGCCTCCCAGCACCGATGGGACCCCGGCCTTTGCAGAGAGCCGATCTGGCTCCCAGGCCACACCTGCGGGTCACAGAGGGCCGCTCACGGGGACAGGTGCACTGAACCCACCAGCCTCTGGGCTGAAATGAAGTGGGGACCCGGCTCGTATCTGGAAAAGGGGGCCCGGGTCGGCAGGCCAACCACACAGATGCCTGTTCGGCCCGGGCAGTCGCTTTTTTAAAAAAATGAAATGAGTCGCTACATTTTAGAAGCCAGGAGATTTCATATCAACACCTGGATTTCCTGGTTCTCTGAAGAAGTCAGAAGCCCCAGCACCTGGGTGGGCACTGCTGCCCGGCCCCACCCAGCTGGCCTCTCACTTCCGTCATCGCCTGGGCCGCTGGGCACCGAGCCTGCAGCCGCCCATGCTCCTGGTCATCGCCGTCCCTCAGCGACTGCTGCCTCTGTCGGTCCTCCGATCGTGTGGGGGCGCCCCTGACGGAAGCAGCCGTGACGGACCTTCCGTGCAGCCGGCGTTTTGCACGCGTGGTCCCCTCGGGCAGGGGTCACAGGCCAGGACAGGGAGGGGACACCTGGCTGAGGCTGGGTCCGTGCCGTCGGCCGGCTGCTGGGAGGACCACGCCTCTGGCACCAGGCAGCTGGGAGAAGCCCGGGCACGCTGGCGACCGTGTCCCCGTCAAACCTCAGAGTTCAAGTCGGGGAGGAATTTTCAATGTTCATTCCCAGAGGGTGAGGCCGTAGCCCAGACCGCAAAGCACGCTGGGACCCAAGGTTTATAAACAGATATGTCCGGAGGCCAGGCATGTAGCTATTAAAGAGGCACTTAATTATTGATGCGTTGTAACAAGTGTTTGCAAATGTTCACATGCCCCCGGCACATCTTAATTGTGACTGCTCCTAATTGGCCCAGCGTTGGCCATCATGATGAGTCAGGGTTGGGGGGGGTAGGGGGGGACAGCGAGAGCTGGGCAGCAGCTGGTGCTCCTGGCAGATTCTGGACGCCCAGGGTTCTGCCACCGCCCTGCCCAGAGCCCCATGCCACACGCAAGGCGAGGATGCTACCGGGGGACCCATCCCTCAGTGCCCGACAGGAGCCGGCTGGAAGGTGGTGGCGCCCGCTTTGAACTAAAGTGGCAACTATGTGTTATCAGACAGCGAGCTGAGCCCTGGATGCCGCCCGCCTCTCCTTAAATACTCTGAGCAGCCCAGTGAGTGCGAGCCTGGAATCTCGCATCCCCTTCTTACAGGAGGAGAGACAGGGTCAGAGGGGAGGTCATTTGCCCCTGGCTGCTCTGCAT